CACTTGCAAACAAATGTCCAAAATTTGTTCGATTTTTACGCGAAACCATAGTTAACGATATAAATAACTTAGGATTTAAAATTGATTTCCCTAATAGAATAATTTTTAATGATCATATTCAAATTCCTATTCAATATAGAAATAAACCACCAAATGATAAGCAAATCGTAAAGGTCAATGCATTTGAAATAATGAAAGTCAAAGTCAAGGTAAATGTTTACTTAGGTGACGTAATAATAAAAGAACAATTATTAAATAATTGCCACATACCAGAAACTCTATCCGTAGCTGATAAAGGTTTTGCGTATATTGAAATAAGAAACTTTACAGATCAACAGCAAGTCATTGAACTAACTGAACCTTTAAATTGTATTCCCTTTCCTGATTCGAAAAAAGAACATTTTACAATTTTTAATATAGAAAATCTAACATCAGATTTTAAACGACAAAATAACACTAATATACAAAATTTAATTAGAACAGACCATCTTAACTCAGAAGAACGAAATAAAATTGTAAATCTATGTAAAAATTACTCAGACATTTTCTATACAGGCGAAAACTCACTGACATTTACTAATCAAGTAAAACATGACATAAAAACAACTGACGAAATTCCTGTTTACACGAAATCCTATAGATATCCTTTTTGTCATAAATCCGAAGTCCAAAAACAAATTAACAAAATGTTAGATGATGGTATTATACGACCTTCCATTAGTCCTTGGTCCTCTCCAATTTGGATTGTGCCCAAGAAACTCGACGCCTCAGGTAATAAAAAATGGCGTATTGTTGTCGATTACCGCAAGGTAAACGAAAAAACAATAGATGACAGATATCCAATCCCTAACATAAATGACATCCTTGACAAACTCGGACGTTGTCAATATTTTTCTACTCTGGACTTAGCCTCAGGGTTTCACCAGATCGAAATGCATCCGGAAAGCATTCAAAAAACCGCATTCAATGTTGAAAACGGTCATTTTGAATATACACGTATGCCTTTTGGACTAAAAAACGCACCAGCGACTTTTCAGAGAGTAATGGACAACATTTTACATGACTTACAAAATAAAATATGCCTCGTTTACATGGACGATATTATTATCTTTTCAAGTTCACTTGATGAACACATCTCAAATTTACAATTAGTGTTTGACAAATTAAGAAAATCAAAATTAAAAATCCAATTAGATAAATCGGAATTTTTACGTAAAGAAGTCGAATTTTTAGGACATGTAGTTACACCAGAAGGAATTAAACCAAATCCTAATAAAATTAAAGCTATTAAACAATTTCCAATACCAAAAACAGTAAAAGATATTAAATCATTTTTAGGTTTAATAGGCTACTATAGAAGGTTTATAAAAGACTTTGCTAAAATTACTAAACCCTTTACTAAATGTCTAAAGAAAGGAGAAAAAATTGTTCATAATCAAGAATTTATTAAAACATTTGAATACTGTAAAAACCTTTTAACAAATCATCCAATACTACAATACCCCGATTTTAGTAAACCATTTAATGTAACAACAGATGCATCAAATTTTGCAATAGGTGCAGTATTATCCCAAGGTACGATAGGAAACGATTTACCAGTGGCGTACGCCTCACGTACATTAAACCCAGCAGAATGTAATTATTCTACAATTGACAGAGAATTACTTGCAATTGTATGGGCTACCAAATATTTTAGGCCTTATCTGTATGGCAACAAATTTAAAATCGTAACAGACCATAAACCTCTAGAATGGTTAACTAAATTAAAAAATCCTAATTCACGTCAAATACGCTGGAAATTAAAGCTAGAAGAATTTGATTTCGAAGTCGTATATAAAAAAGGTAAAATCAACACCAATGCTGATGCTCTATCCCGTGTAGAAATTCACCCTATAGAAACGTCATCAATTATAGCCGAACCCGGTTTTATTTATTTATTTATTTATTTATTTACATCATCTTACAGTCCTTGGACCAATTACAAGATGAGATATTAACCTAAACTAAATATATCACATGAAAAAAAAAATGTTATAATAAAAACAGTTGAAATATTCTACAAACTTATATAAGTACAGAACAATAAAAAGCACAATGCAAAAAAGAATAAATAAATTAGGTATTTAAAATTAAGTTTCTTATTGTTTGCAAATTGCATGAAAAAATATCAAAACTGTCTTGCAAGTCATTGTATTTATCACACATAAAGTGTACTGGAGAAAATTTTAAAACATTTGTTTTTGCACCTGGCAAATAAAAGGTAAAATTATTTCTTGCAGTAACACGAGGAACTCTTAAATACAATTTACTTAAAAGATAAGGGCAGTCGATATAATTATTTATGAGTTTAAACAAAAATACTAAAGATGCTTTTATTCTGCGGTCCTCCAAACTTTCAAAATTAAACCTTTTTAATAATATTGCTTGAGAAAATCGCACAGGTGGGTAGAACCCATCAATTCTGAAACTAAGGAGTTTAAGAAAGCGACGCTGTAAGTTTTCAAGTGAATCAGAATGTATCTCATATGAGGGATTCCATATTATACTTGCATACTCTATTTTTGATTTAATAAAGGTGTTGTAAAGTAGACACAGTGTGAAAACATTACCAAAATCCAAAGAATTTCTGACAATGAATCCCAAATTTTTGCTAGTTGCATTAATAATGTTATTAACGTGCAAACTAAAATTTAATTTGGTGTCGAATGTGACTCCAAGGTCTTTAAAGTGTTCTCTGCGATTTAATGTCCGGGAATTAAGGGTATAGTCAAATGCGAGTGGGTATTTTTTCTTATTATAAGAAACTACATTGCACTTATCCACGTTAAGAGGGAGATTGTTTTCAGCGCACCAATTGTTAATCTTATCTAGCTTATTTTGTAGCTGCACACAATCATCTACAGACTCGATGCGGGAAAAAATTTTAGCATCATCAGCATACAGCAAAATATCGGGACCACATCCCGCTACAATGTCATTTATAAAAATTACAAACAGTAAAGGACCCAATATTGATCCCTGTGGTACTCCAGAAGATGCAGTTATTTCGGTAGACCTTGCACCACGACATTCGACATACAGCTTGCGGTTTAGTAGATATGAAGATAAGAGTTTTATTAAAGGTGCTGAGAGTCCAACTTTGCACAGCTTATGTAGAAGAATGCCATGATCAAGTCTATCAAAAGCTTTAGAAAAATCTGTATATATAACATCTACTTGTACATTTTTATCAAGATAATTAGCAATATAGTCTGTTATGCACATTAAGTTTGTAACTGTCGATCTGTTTTTCACAAAACCGTGTTGATATATGGTAATCTGACTTTCCACATGGCGATATAAAAATTTATGCAAAAGTATCTCAAAGACCTTGGAGAAATTATTAATTATTGCAATAGGTCTATAGTTTACACAACAATTCCTATCACCTTTTTTGTATACAGGACATAGTTTAGATGTTTTCCATAACTCAGGATATACACAAGTTTTAAGGATTAAATTAAAAAGTAACTTTAAAGGTTTGATAAGAGAACAAGCACAATCCCTAATTATAAATGCTGGTATGCCATCTGGAGCTTTTGTGAATTTAGGTTTTAATTTTTTTAAAGCAAAAGTAATATCTGATTCTGAAAAAGATGTTAAATTAAAACAGTTAACATCAACTACACACGAATCTAATATTCCATCGTTCGACGCAATAAATGAGTCTTTAAACACGCTAGCAAAACCGTTGGCAATATCTAAGGGGTTACTTAACGTGCTATCATTAACTGTCATCTGATTGGGTATTGAAGACTTGTTGTTTTTTGAGTTTATGTAAGACCAAAAAGAATTAGGATTATTTTTAATGTTATTTTCAATGTTTTTTATGTAATTTTTATGTGCAATATCTGTATCATTTTTTATTTTATCCCTTAGATATTTAAGTTGATTGTACGTTTCAGTGTTATTTGATTTTTTATAATTTAGCCATAGTTTATATTTTCGCTTTATATCTGATATAATTATAGAATTATACCAAGGTGGATACTTTTTCTTTTTAGAGATTGACTTATATTTGGGTATATTTAAATCGAAAATATTGTACAGCTTTTCATAGAATAATCCGAGAGCCATATTAATGTTACTTATATTTTTCAAAAAATTCCAATCAACTAAACGTACAATTTTATGAAATTAGCCTTTCTGAAATTATAACCTTTGAATTGAATTAAATTAGCACTAGCGATATTATCTAATGTAACATCTGGATATATATTTAAAGGCGGATGGTGAGAATCTATATTTAACATAGCGTCATGAGAAGTTTCTACTTGACAGATAGTATTTGAAAAGACAAGGTCTAGTAAACGATTATTTTTATTAAGTACAGAGTTATATTGTTGTAGCTCAAAGTAGTTTATGAATGTATTTAAAAATCCAAAAACGCCCGTAAGGTTATTTTTACTCATATTGTAATCTGGAATATTAAAATCTCCAATGATAAATATTTTTTGATTAATTAAGTAATTTAGGCTCTCGAATAATTCAAAGAAAATACTGTAATGATTGGTCGACAGAGCAGGTGGGATATAAACTATAAATATGTATATTTTTGTATGTCTTATTACAACTTCAACACCAACTATATCTATTAAAGGAACTTGTTGCGTAAAAATATCCAGATTTAATTGCCTAGAAATTAAATTACAATTGACGGCCAACAATACACCGCCTCCTCTTTTAAGACCAACAGAACAATAATTGCGATCCGCCCTGTATACAAAATAGTCTTCGCTGATTATTTCACTGTTTTTTATGCTAGAATTAATCCAAGTTTCAGTAAACGCAAGCATATCATAATTACACCTATACGAGGCATTTAAAATTTCATGGGTTTTTGTGTTTAGACCGCGAACGTTTTGGTAATAAATTAGTGGGGCGGTGATTTTGGTGGGGGTCATCAAATTATGCGATTCATTGTCAGTTGCAATACTAACTGGATCGAGTAATGTTAATGGCTAAGAACTAAATATTTTGGATTTGTATTCCTTAGCTTTCTGATTAAATACATAACACTTTGAATCCCATACAGCGTGACTTACCTCCAATTTCAGTGATTTATTAATGTTATTAAGATTTGTGCAGTTAATACATTTTAATTCTGTGTCAGTTGCTTTACATTCTTCAAGTAGATGTTCCTGTGCGCATCTAGGACAGCTATTATTTTGGTTGCTACAGTCTTTAGATAAGTGGTTAAATCCATTACACTTAAAGCATCTTAAAACATACACAGAATCATATACACTACAATAATTAAGACCTACCAGCAATTTATCTTTAGACACAGACATAAGTTTGTTGTAGGTCGTAGAATCGACTTGCAAGACAGCCTGATAAATATTTTTGTTATTTTTTGTTGGCCATATTTTAATAACTTTACACTCGGAGATTTCATTAAAAATGAATTTATTTTGATTAGTTAAATAGGAAAGTAAAACATCTTCGGAGAGTTTCTCGGACATTCCGACAAGACGGATTCTTGGAGATAATTTCTTTACATCGCTAATATCATACTTTTCAGATAATTTTCCATTAGCCATTTCTTTTAGTTTGCATAATTCCATGTCATTATCACATCCAATTATTACTCCACCCTTACTTATATTACGTACTGTAGAAATTGATAACTGATTTTGAATCGGATTTATTTCATGAAGTATTTCGCCTCTTGTTTCGAAATTTTTTTGCAATGTATTTTTAGGTTTGATAAGTATAGACGGCTTTGTTTTTAATGCAGCTGAAAATGATTTAATATTGGAACTCATTGACGGCACCTCCTTAATTGAACAAGTAACTTCATTTAATTTATTTTCAGCCATTTTTATAAAATCTTTTTTCATTTCTGATATAGTAGTTTCCATTTCATCAGATATTTGTTTCAATTTTACTTCAAACTTCTCTTCGATTTTAACAAAATTATCTTTTTGAGCTAAGATTGTACAATTTGGGCAGGTCCATTTTAATCCGGGAACTTTCCTTAGGAATTTTAAAATATCGGCAGGAACATCGCAACAGCTGCCGTGAAATTCGCAGTTGCAAAAACCATCACAAAAAATCACTGGTTGATTCCGACTAACCTTGCCCGAGCAAATTCCACACACAGTCATTTTAATAGATTAATCATTATTCACTTAGAAAAATCTAAAAGTCTTACGAAACTATCAAAAAAATATTCACGATTAACGTTACTATAAATTCACCATAAAATCACTATGAAAATACCACGGAAAACTTAGAAATTCAATAAAAGTTTAGGAGCCGATGTGTACACCAGCCTTTTAACTTTTAATAATGATTGATCATTGACGATGAAATCGAACGATATCTTAAAAACGAATCGAATCTTCCAAATATAGACGATGAAACTTTAAACGAAATTCTTGGTATAACACCTGACAATACTAACCCTTCTAAAATCAATATAATTTCTGACATACAAATTAGACCTCCAAATTTGAAAACAAAAGAATTAGATGAACAATCATCTCTTTCTACAATTCATACTGCTATCGAAGACCCAATTTTTACAATCCCAATAACAGAAAAATGCGTTAATTGCTATACAAACCAAATTATAGTCTCTGGTAATTACAAACTAAATAATAACTACATTATGACTTCAAAACCTTTTAAAGAAAAATATAGGACACGAGTGTCTTTACCACTTTTAAATTTTGAGCAAGGTATAATTTCTCTTTTTAAAGAACATGTAACTAGTAAAAAAACCTATTGTCTTCACTTTAAAAATCCTGAAATAATTTCAGACTTTACAGTTTTTGTTCAAAAAACATTTAAAAATTCAGCCTTTAAATTAGTTCAAAGTATGACAATGCTAGAAGATGTTCAAAATTTCGAAGACCAACAAGAAAAGATAAGACACCATTATGAAACAAAAACCTGTCACCGTGGTATTAACGAAACGGAATTAGCACTTAAAAGAAAATATTATTGGCCAAATTTAAAAGTAGATGTTGAAAAATTTATCAATAACTGTGATATCTGCCAAACATCAAAGTATGACAGAAATCCACCAAAAATTAAATTTAACTTAACACCCTCCAGTTCTAAGCCTTTTCAAGTTGTTCATATCGACACCTTCCAAATTGATAATCAAAAATTTCTTACACTAATAGACACATTTTCAAGATATGCACAAGCATACAGAATAATTGGAGCTAATGCCATTAATACCATCGATAGTTTGTTAATTTTTGCCACACATCATGGCCTCCCACGTACTATTGTATCAGACGGTGGTACGGAATTTAATAATTCGACCTTTAAAGATTTTGCAAAAGTCCATAATATCAATTTACACTTTTGTACACCTTACAACTCAAACAGTAACTCTCCTGTAGAACGCCTACACTCGACTTTAATTGAACACATAAGATGTCTACGTGCTACTAACACCGATAGTAGAATCGATCAATTAATGCAATATGCAATTTTAGCATATAATAATTCAATCCATTCAGTAACGAAACAAACACCCTTTGAAATTATTAGTGGACATACAAATAGCATTGATACGCTTGATATAACGGACGAAAAAATAATTAATGACTACATCGAAAATCATAGGAAAAATATTAATACCCTGTACGAAAAAATTCTAGATATAAATAAAAGAACTAAAGAATTAGTTATTACCAAGCATAACGAAAAACGCGAAGATCCCATAGAATATGAAGAAAACAAAATAGTTTTTGTCAAAATACCAACTCGCTCAAAAACTAAACCCAAATTTAAACCGGCAACCCTTAAAGAAAATTTAGGCATTAAAGGAAAACTAGACTCGAATGTTATTATCCATAAAAAGAATATTAAAAAACCAAAGAAACTAACTAATAATTCTTCATTACAGGAACAAAATGACGATCCTGACCCTGACATTGACAATGACAATCCTGGCCCAGACTTATAGTCTTGATATAATCCATTTGAAAACAACCCAGGACTTTTACCCTTTAAGTTAGGAAAAGCAAAAATAATGAATGCAAAGCATGATTTTTTGCATTACGTTAGGTTAGATTCCCTTCAGGAACATATTAATAATCTTAAGAACGCTTTTAACAATCTCAATAATTCAATTGTACATAATTCGAACACTTTAAGTACGCTTAGTGTTAAAAATAATTTTAATAGTTTACAGCCTTTAATGACGGATATCGAAGCGAAATTTTCAAATATTAAATATTTTCAAAATAATAGAAATAGAAGAGGACTTATAAACGGAATAGGTACCCTTAATAAATGGATAACAGGCTCTTTAGATGCTAATGACGGCGAACGATATGACAAAGCAATAGTTACTTTAGAAGCAAATCAAAAGAAAATTGTTTATGAAGTAAATTCACAAATATCCCTTTCCAAACAACTTTCAAATAAATATTCAGAAACAATAAAAATAATTGTGGAAAACCAGAACAAGATAACAGATTTTATAAATAAATATAAAGTTACTTTAATGAAACAGTCAGATTCTCATAGAGACATATCATATTTAGGAGTTGTTAATCAATTGTTCATAAATATAAATTTAATATTAAACCTTTTAAATGAAATAGAAAATGCAATTACTTTTGCCCGTCTTGGTACAGCTCACCCTGATATACTCAAAATTAATGATTTAAAACAAATTTTACAAGAACTTAAAGAACTTCATTCAGGTGAAGAACTTCTTGACCTAGATTTCTATGATTGGTATTCTATAATTAAAACAAATTGTTATTTTTCTAAAGATACCTTAATATTTGTTTTGGAATTTCCTATTACAAATGGCGAACTTTATGATTATTTCCATTTATATCCAATCCCAACCAAAAATAATTCAATCCTTATTCCTTCTAAACCTTATATGGCTCTTGCTACGTCATCCTTCCAATATATGGAACATGTTTGTCAAAAGACAAATACCTTTTATATTTGTCCTCAAGAAGATCTTAGAAGCACCGCCGAAGAAGATTGTGTCGCCACTCTCCTTGTCGGAAACCCGAAGAACTGCAGATTCACCGAAATTGAACAACCTGATGTTTCGATCGAACAACTAAACGACGATCATCTCCTAGTTATAACAGCAAAACAACTTCGTTTAACAACATACTGTACAAATCAAGAGTTCCAGATAATCCAAGGAAGAAATTTAATAAAAATACCAAAGAACTGCACCATTGAAGTTTACAATAGAAAATATGGTAACAAACAATCAGCATTCCAAACACACCCCATCTTGTTGCCAACATTCAAAATTCAAGAAAACACAGACAAAAAGAAGCTTGGAAAAATTCAAATACAACACGTTCCATTATCTGAACTTTACCACATTCAGAAAAGTATAAATTCCCTGAATCCCATAAAAATCGATGAAATCAATCAAAATACTACAACTAATTGGATTCTTTGGATGGTTCTATTAATTTTGGTCATCCCAATTGGAATAACCTATGGATTTCTACAATACAAGAAAAGAGGAAACGGATTCCAGAGGCCATCGCTCAAAAGAAAAGAAATTGCGACCCCTTCAGTCCTGTTCACTCCCGAAGTTGCCTTCTAAGGATGGAGGAGTTATATCGTTGAATTCTACGAATTATGCTTTATTTTATCTATGTCTATTCTGCACTTTATAGTTTATATATACACCTTGCATTGTAAAATTAAAATAATAAGATTTCCGTTCTCAAGCTGTAAACACCATTTCGAAATAAAGTTGCTTTTTTAAAAAGTGTTTTCAACAAGAAAGTTATTTAATTCAGTTAAGGTTATGTTCATAGAAACATGGTTGCACAGTGGGATAACAATTTTATTTGGAGCTACGCTCGCACGGTGGGATACATTTTTGTTAGAATAAAGTGTCAATTAATTAAAGTATTGGTTAATTTGTTATTGTAAAAGAAACTCCCTTACCCTGACTTCCTGTTGAGTTTGTCGCAACTGGCGCCCTTGACTTCAGATTTTCGATCTTAAAACTTGAACCTCGACCTAGCGTCGACAAATAAGAGCTGCCGAGGTAAGTGTCCTATTTTATTGTATTTTTTTACAAACATAGGTTACAAAATATATATATATATATATATATATATATATATATATATATATGTATAAGAGAAAAAATATTTTTAATTTTTGAAATAAAATATATGAAAAATATATATAAATAAATATAATAAATATATAAAGAATCTCTACGCGTCCGTTCTGAAGGGTAACATTTTTAACGTTAAAAAAACAATGTTACGTTACTATATGGTAATGTATGTCATCAAATTTAACATCACTATACCAGATATGTTCATATATATATACTTTGTATGACCATATATGTACATATATAGTCATATATTATAAATATTAAGTATCCTGGATATATACATCAATGTATTTTGCATCCAAAATAAATAATATTACATTACATATAATAATATATACATATACATACATATATATGACTATATATGTTCATATATTATAAATGTAAACGTTCTTCATCTAAAATAAATTTAAATATATATAAGTGTGTATGACCATGTATGTTTCTACATGTTTATAGATATATATATACAACCATATATAAAAGCCAATTATACGTAAATAAATAATCATATATAATCATATATGTCCATACATTATTTTATATATGATCATACATAATTATATATAATTAAATATAATTATATATAATTTTTTTTTCCCGGGCGGGAGGACTTTAAATGATTGCAAGCCCTCAAATCTGATAGTGCTTGCAAGCTCTTTAGTGCTTGCAAGCCCTTTAAAGTGCTTGCAAGCCTTTTAAGTGCTTGCAAGCACTCAAATGGCTTGAAATGCGAAATTCAATTACCAATTACCAAGCACTTTTTATAAAGGGCTTCAATTACCAAGCACTGTATTTTAAAAGTGCTTGCAAGCACTGTGCTCGAAGCACTATTGTGCTTGAAGCACTTTTTCAAGCACTTTCAAGTCAATTACTGCCCAGCTCTGGTTTAAACCATAACAAAATCCCACATGTATACATACAAGTATATATACAAGATATCCATATCAGTTATCCACCGGATATCCAGTGGATATCCAGTGGATATACATTAGATGTACAGTGGATATACTTTGG